AACGTTGCTGACAATTCAGCAACCCCTCAGTCCTCCCATCCTGCCAGGCAGTCTCAACTACATCCCTACAGCCTCTCCGGCCCCTACTTGTTTGCATGCATGGTGCATTGATACTAAGATAAAGAGTCGAGTGATCTGAAGTACGAGTCCGTATATTCTCCACACCAGCGTCCCCATTCACATCACCCTAGGCTGACGTTGCTAATACTTTGTGTAACACCCCTAATTTTTGATATATTTAAAACTTATATAATTAACGCAAACCATCATTAAATATCCCAAACAGAGCATAAACTAATCATATCGGTCGGGGTGTTATGACACATCTGAGCTAGAGAACTCAGATGCACAGGCTAAACTAACTAACAAGGCATAAACCATAACTAATACCCAAATACAAAGCAAGGCACGAAGGCCATCTCATCAATACTAGAACTACCTAAACTAAAGCCCACGAATCCCACTAGCGCGCTCCGAAGCTACTCAACTGTCCCTGAAAAACACTCAGTGTAACAACTGTCAGCAAATAATGTTGGTAACCCACTCCAACGCGTTAAGTACAATATAGATAAATATAAGAAACTCATTTTGAATATGGAATACATATATACTTACGAGACTCTAGTTTAAATCCAAGATCAAGACTCAAGACACATTAACAGACTCAACAGTATAGAATAATCATAAAGACTAAGATGCATCCTAAGAACGCAATACAAGATATAACAGGCAGATAAGCTTATAAATAACAATTAGAGGCAACGAAGGCATTCAAGACAATCAATTAGCAAGTCGTCATCAAAGCACACAATTCATCCTCCAACCTTATACCAAGTTCCAACCTAGTTCCCCTCTGTCCTTATATCCGTTCCAACCTATACCTCCAGGCCACCCTTATATCACCACCCCTTATTGCCCTGGGAAACTATATGCCCCCACCGCAACACTTATAACCTGACCCATGCTCAACGGCAAGCTAGTCGAAGGTGGGTGTGTGCCTTCAGCACAGTCACCGCTATGGTCTGTACCTTTAGTACAATGACCGGGCACAAGTGGTGCCAATCTCCAACAATTCATTTCCACCAATCACAATCTCATCATCATCATCAGTCACACAAGCCATTGCGCAATGACCATGATACTCATCACCATTCAATCAAGCAACACATAATCAAATAACGATTAAAACATAACAACAACGACACGTATTACACATAAATTCCTAGAACGATACCCAAAAACACCAAACGAGACTCATACACGACAAACGGGGTACAACGAGGCACGGGGAAACATCAAACGGGGAAAAACACCACGAACCACGCCGGGTTTACAGCGGGTGGGTGGCGGGTGGAGGACCACCCGCCGGCGGCGACACACTATTCCAGCGGGTGCCCGGCGGGCAGTCGCCTGCCCCCCGGCTGCCCGCTGGAATAGTAACCACGGGCAGCGGGTAGGTGGCTGGCACCCCTGCCCCCACCTACCCCCTCACTGACTCACAAGCAACTTTCGGTCCCGGGATCTCTCGTGGAACCCGAAACCACGTCCAAACACATCCAAACACATAATGACAACATCACGTATTTAATTAACGGGATTGAACTAAGAATTATACCAAATGCATTCTACACGATTCCTAAACACGCCAAGACTCCACATTAATCATATAACGGTTCAGGAGCATCCGGAACCACAAGAATATCAGGAAATCTATATGCAAGGTCCTAAACACAAGTCCTAGGCTAGACTCAACACCCGATTCATGCATAATTCCTCCCAAATATACCAAGAACATCATAATACGGAATTCACGATATAAACCCTAGGGCTCTAGACATAATCGAAATACAAGATCATTCATATAATCAATCATAGTATCAAGAACATCAAGATTATCACATAAACACAATATAAACCCTAAGCAAGGCTCTATCAAGACTCAATCACAGAATTACACATACGATTACCAAAGGAGCCAATGAATAAGATATAGCAAGGAAAATAAGTTTTGTCGAGACATGGGTTACCTCTTAGCCTTAATTAATCATCCCTTGGCTATTAAGGTTCTTCTCTAAGATTTCCCTCCGATTGGTCTCCCTAGGCTTGGTGGTGGGGAATCTCCTGGGAAAAATTTCGTGTAATACAACTATGGGTGGTAAGGGTTCTAATTGCTTTCTAATCCCCTATATATAGATTTAGGAATCCTAATCATAGTCTGAATGGTAAAAAACTATATTCTATTCCTAACAAGTATATATAGGTCTAGGGTTCCTAATTAGGATCTGAGTAGTAAAGGCCTACTATCTTTATTCCTAATAGGTCTAGGATTCCTAATTAGAATTTGAATAGTGGAAGGTCCACTCTCTTTATTCCTAAGAGGCTTAAGACTCTAGTTTAGGTAAAGGTCCACGATCTATGGTGGACCACATTAATTAATTAAAGGGAATCCTAACCGAATTAAATCCTTTTTAATTATTATTAACAGAATTAATTAAATAATTAATCCAGGGTTAAAGGCCATAACACGGGGTGTTACACTTTGTCTAATCTTCCTTCAATCCAGTTACTAGTACCTTTGCTCTTTTCTCAGGTGAATTGATGGCCTCGCATAGCCATCTGTACCCGTCGACAACCATCCACAGCCTCCCCAAAGTCGCGTAGGAGACTATCTGGATGTGGATTCCCCCCTCTTTTCATACTGATAGAGGAGATCATTAAAATCTCCTATGACAACCCAAGGCAACGAGGATCTACTACTCAAGGAAGTAAGTAACTCCCATGACTCCCTCCTCCTACTCCGCTCCGGGAAACCATAAAAGTACGTTATTCGCCACACCCTATCATCACGAATACTCATTTCCACATCCAAATGGTTCTTGGAGAAGCTTAGAAGCCTAGCAGTATTATTTTTCCTCCAGAACAAAGCCAAACCACCACTCAAACTTGCATTCTCCACATAAAATAATCCTTCGAAACCAAGCTTGATACTGAGACGTTCTGCATGCATCCGCCCAACCTTAGTTTCTATTAAGTACACAAAATCGGGCTTCTTGGAGGATATCATGTCCTCAATCTCGTGAACTGTACGTGGATTGCTAAGCCACGATAGTTCCAACTAAGCGTGATCATGATGATGGGCGGCTCTGGGAACCAGAACCCGCCATGGACAAGTTTGTTTAGACATCTGGCATCACAATATCACCTCCTCCACCTCCAAACTGTCGATCACGTTCCTCTGTCTGTTCCCTACGGTGCTTCGACGCAACCACCACAGTGGGGCTGTCCTCCCGCCCCTCCACCACCATAACCTCCGTGACCGAACCACCCCCAACTGCCGTAACCTTCTCGTCGTGTGGAGAACCTATCGCCGAAATCAACCATGGTTCCCCGATCGGCCGTGGTCCACTTCTGCCCCCTGCTCGCATGTTCTCACCGAATGGATAGAGCTCGACCGGCATCGGCGAATTCCTTGCCTTGAGACAGAACTTGAAGGAGTATCCCATCATACAGCAAAAGAAGTAAAAGGTATGCAGTCGTTCATATTTAAAATTTATCCAACACGTAGATTTGTTCCGCTTTAATAACTTCATGCGCCGCTGTAGGGGTTTCAACACTGGAATGGAAAATCATATGCGGTAGAAAGCCCGCCACGGCGGACCTGCAAAGCGATTGTCGCACCGAACGAATCTACCAAGAAAGTTCCCAATCTGCTCGAGGATGATGTCCGAGGTATACCCCATGGGAAGGTCATGGCATTGAACCCACATATCAACGGAATCCAAAGTAATGTCCTCCGGGAGTACACCATCCTTAACTTGCCGGCAAACAAGCGTATGGTTATCGAAAGACCACGGGCCATCCTCAAGAACACGGATCATGTCAGTGTCGTGCCGAAAAGCGAAGAGGAATAAGTTAGGTTGCAGCTCCGTAACTTGGACATCCATAACTGGTTGCCAAACTGACGCCATAACCTGTCGCATAAACTCCACCTTAATCAACTTAGTCATTAAGAAATGACCAACCACCGTCCATACCTCCTCCACAGCAGCACATCCATCCCCGTCGGCAACAACATGATCAAAAGTTACTGCCTCTTCTTCTTCAAGTACCAAGTCCGCCCAGCGGGAGGTGAGTCCTGCGACACCATCCTCCGTTGATGTCGAAGCCATGAGAGCGATGTGCAAGAAAAAGTAACGGTGAAACAAGCCGGAGAAAGCCAAAGAGAGACGTCGGAACCCTAGCAAGCGTAGGATAGAGCCTGAGAAACCCTAGCGTAGGGAGAGAAAAAAGATCTATTTCTCTTATTTAATTTATTGATAATGAATAATTTTTTTTGAAAAAAAAAATATATTTACTTATTTATGTAAACACACACATTTTCATGCTGAATTGTAACAATGCTGGATACCTCAACATGCATAGTAAGATATGGGGTGCATTTTGTAATTTAACAAAATTGAGCACATCAATTCAATTTTGTTAAGTTACATAATGTACCCCATCTTTTAGTACTTTTAGCTAGTGTTAAGCATCATTATTAATGTTTTGGGAGCAATCACAACTAAGTTGGTCGAACAACTCATTTGGTAACTACAATATTTAATGTTCAATTATCTGTAAGATCGAGCTGTTTATTCGTGAGGTTGATTTACCTTCATGTGGTCCTTTGCTGACTAGGGTCACTAGGCAGGTTTCATCCCTTACATACACACCTTTAGAACGATAATGGTCGTGGGTTGTTTCATAATCAAAGTATTAATTATTATTATGATTGGTATTGCAAATTTTGCATTTATATGTACATTGATCACAAGTCGAGCTTCACTCACTCTGCACCTTTGGGTAGTGATTGTGGATTTTTCCGTGAATCAAAGTATTAAGCATTTTTATGATTGGTATTGCAAAGTTTTCCATATATATGTGTCTGTGTATTTATATATGTACATTTGGATTGACTAATTCAAACGAAAAGAAATTAAATACAATGAAAATGGGCAAAGCTCCAGAAGAAGATGAAGAAGAAAGCCATCACATGAAGCAACGGAAGAAGGCTTATTTAGACAAGGGCAAGGCTCCAGCAAAAGGAGGAGGAGAAGGCAATCAAATAGAGCAAGAAGAAGAAGAAGAAGAAGAAGAAGAAGAAGAAGAAGAAGAAGAAGAAGAAGAAGGCCATCAAATGGAGTGGAAGGTTTATATCGACAAGGGCAAGGCTCCAGCAGAAGGAGGAGAAGGCAATCAAACAGAGCAAGAAGAAGAAGAAGAAGGCCATCAAATGGAGCGGAAGGCTTATTTCGACAAGGGCAAAGCTCCAGCAGAAGAAAAAGAAAGCCATTGGATGGAGCAAAGAATGAAGGCTTATCTTGACAAGGGCAAGGCTCCAGCTATTTCCCCTTCACCTTGAAAGATTTTTCACGTTTCCTTTGTTTCATTTGTGCTTGAAAATTTGAGCTTCGCATGTTTATGAATGTGTGATGATTGATATATGTTCGAACAAAATTGATTTTTCTTGGTTTAATATGTTCATGCATGTGATGATGACTGAATATTTGAAGTGTTTGATGAATGATCATTTGGATATACTATTAAAGTTTAAACTTGGTGTTATTGTACATCATGTTTAGTTTATCTTGCTTATGGATATTTGATGCAATGAACAGGTTATTTAATTGGTTGATGCAATTATAATAAGAATTATTATTATTGGTTGAATTTGTAAATTGGTATGGTTAGAACAGTTTGAAAGTTAATTGGGGACGTACGGGTGGGTGTGATGATCGAAGGAGGACTTCATGCATATATGTGTAAGCTCTTAAGGATCTGTTTGCCACAATTGTTTATTAAATTAACCTATTGAGTTGCATGGAGTTAATACCACCAATGGTCCTCCGAGTATTAGCGATTTACCAGCTGTGGTCAATGTCATTCAAGTTTTAAATGACCTTCAATAGTCCTCCATGTTTTAAAAAATAACCATATGTGGTTCTAATTCTTAAAAAAAATCGAGTTTAAAATGACCACGAGACGTCCTAAAAGGACCACGGGTGGTTATTTTTTAAAACATAAAGGACCATTGATGGTAAATCGCAAATACTCGGAGAATCATTAGAGGTATTAATTCGAATTGCATGTATTTGATAATAAACTAACTTTTTAAGCCGTAGCAACAAATTTAATAAGTTTTTTTTTTGAATGTTACTGGCCCTATTACATTGTAGTATCTGTTAATATACTTTCTCAACCTACTAAAACACAAAGAACCAATAACACCTCCACTGAGGCTCGAACTCATAACCTTCCAAATGAAAATCCAACCCAAGTACCATTAGACCACATCGTCTTGGTAACAAATTTAAAAAGTTATTACTTCGTATTTGGATAAAGATTAATTAAGGGTCTAAATCAAAAGAAGTATATGTAGTAACATGTGCAATGAAAGGATTAAGAACTTATATAGCCTACATGTCATTACTATATACTCTAAAATAGAGCTCCATTTAATGTCAAACTAATTATTTCATAAAACACTTTGAAATGCCCCATTAGACCTTATGTTGGTCAATATCTTAAGAGATATTTCAAAATATTGTGTAATCACATTAGCTCATAACTCATAAGTTACTTTAAGATGTAAGTCTCATTGTAAGACGGATTCCGTGAATATGAAAATGTAATACTTATGTTAAAAAATGTAATATTAATTAGAAATGTAAGACGGATTCCGTGAATATGAAAATGTAATACTTATATTAAAAAATGTAATATTAATTAGAAATATATCGTTTGTTATTTTTAAGAGAAAGTGTAATATATTAAAGTAAAAATATAATACTTTTAAATCAAAATATAATATTTAGGGGTTAAACAATTATTTATAAAAAAAGTGTAATATTAATCATGGATAAATTGATTGATTGCTACTTATTATAAGTGATGAAGTGAAATACTTATAAGAATATACGGAGTAATATTTTAAAATCAAAATGTAATATAAGGGTTAGTTGAAAATTTACTTATAAGAAAATCTGTAATACTTGAGGGGGAACTATAATATTAAAAAAAAAAAAAAAATCTAACTTACGAATAAGAATATGTAAAACAGTCTCATATGAGATCTTGTTATTATTATTTTTTTGGGGAATAAGGGAGGGGGTGACCCTAGCGGTCAGTTGCTTCTATTGAAAGCAAAAGACGTAACGCAATCTGTTATAGCTGAAGTATTTTTCTTGTGTTATAGCTGTTTCTTTCATCACCGAATTCACTTTCTCTACTTTTTTTAGGAAGGAAACAACAATTATTGTTCCCAAGACTTTAAGCTGCTACGAAATTTCAAAGGTGGATTTGAATGACTTATTGTACTCTTAAAGTTGACTCAGTTTTTTAATTAGTTTGTTGATTGTATATTTAATTAGTTTGTTGATTATATAAAAATGCACTCATGTAGGATGGAGGGTTATGCTGAGGAATCGTGTTTACTTGCAAGGTGGACAAAGTTCTATATTCATAATTATTGAACTTTATGTTCATAATTATAATATTTTATGTTCATAATTTTTGAACTTTATATTCACAATTATTGAATTTTATATTCACAATTACAGAATTCTATGTGCATAATTATAAAACTCTATGTTTATAATTTTTGAATTTCATATTTACAACTATTGAACTCTATATTTACAATCTCTGTGTTCATAATTTTAGAACTCTTTATTTACAACATAATTTGCCCATGTAAGATGTGATCGACACTTATTAATTTAGTTTTTTTTTTTTTTTTAAGCAATCGGTCAATTTTCTTTTGCGTAAGAGTAAGTGATTTTTTAAGAATTTTTGTAAAATAAAAAAATTTGGGTTGAGTTTTGCACTTAAAAATCTTTTAAGTTTTTCTCCCTACGTTTCTAGGGTTTTTCGCCGGAAGACTTTTCTCTCCCTTTGTTTCCAGGGTTTAACGATGGCTTAGGTTGAGATCAGATCAGACTGATTAGAGATAATTCTTCGTAGATTAACCAGAGAATAGGAATACAAGAGATATCTAAAATAACTATCTCTAACAGCCCTGACTAATAGACTAGACTCACTACACACCACATACATAACTATATTACATGGATATAACATAACAATAATAATAATACTAACACACCCCCTCAAGCACAAGGTGTGGAAGACACAACATTGAGCTTGTCACGCAGAGCGCAGAACCTTGATGTAGACAGCGGTTTGGTGAAGATGTCAGCCAGCTGATCAGTGGTCGATACGTAGTTGACTACAAACTCTCCTGAAGCGACCTTATCGCGTACAAAGTGATAATCAATTTCCACATGCTTTGTCCTAGCGTGAAACACGGGATTAGCACACAGATATGTAGCTCCTAGGTTATCACACCACAATTTAGTCGGGCCCCCTGAGTGTAGTCCAAGTTCCCGTAATAAAGAGATTACCCACGTCACCTCGGCCGACACATCAGCGAGAGCCTTATACTCTGCTTCTGTGGAAGATCGGGCTACCGTACGCTGCTTCTTCGACTGCCAAGAGATAAGATTAGATCCCAGATAAACAGCAAATCCACTAGTACTCTTTCGGTCTATCGGACAGCCAGCCCAGTCAGAGTCTGAGAAAGCGTGGATAGCGGAGGAGGGTGACGGAGTGAAGCACAACCCGTAGTCAAGTGTCCCCTTAATGTAGCGTAGTACCCGCTTAACTAGACCCCAATGTTCGACCGTGGGTGAATGCATATGCTGGCAGAGACGATTGACAGCGAAAGCAAGATCAGGCCGCGTGATCGTCAAGTACTGTAAAGCGCCCACAATACGGCGGTATTGCGTGGGATTATCAAACAACTCATAAGACGGGATAACCAACTTCGTCACGGCTGCAGGTGTGGTAAGTGGTTTGGAATCAATCATGCCGGACCGCCCTAGGATATCTGACATATAACGCCGCTGTGAGAGTATGACACTATTCCCTGTTGTGACCATTTCAATGCCCAAGAAGAAGCCTGGTGCGCCAAGATCTCGTATCTTAAACACTGTAGCGAGCTGGTGTAGCAAAGTACTGACCAATTTAGAGTCATTGCCCATCATGATTATGTCATCGACATAAACCAATAGAAATACCTGTGAAGCCCCTGATGTATAATAAAAGAGGGATACGTCAGTTTTGGACGAAACGAACCCGGCAGATAATAAGAAGTCATGTAACCGTTTAAACCACGCCCTCGGGGCCTGTTTCAAGCCATATAGGGACCGTTGTAGATGACACACGTGTCCCGGTGCAGTAGGGTCCTCATACCCTGGAGGCTGTTTCATGTATACGGTTTCTTCTAGACGGCCATTCAGAAATGCATTATGGACATCTAGCTGACGCAGAGTCCACTGACGTGACACAGCTAATGAGAACAACATGCGAACAGTTGTTGGTTTGACCACAGGACTGTAAGTGTCAAAGAAGTCCTCTCCTGCTACCTGGTTAAACCCTTTTGCTACCAATCGCGCCTTATAGCGCTCAATGGACCCGGTGGCCGTGCGTTTGGTCCGGAACACCCATTTGCAGCCAATGATGTTCATATGGGGTTGCGGTGATACCAAACGCCAGGTGTTATTATGTAAGAGAGCATTAAACTCTTGGTCCATAGCTTCGCGCCAATGAGCATGACCCACTGCCTGGGAATAGCAAGTCGGGTCAGCCACCACATTTAAGGCATGGAACTGCTCATCCGTACCCCGTGTCATGTGCCGAAGCCTCATGACATGATCCCGACTTTGAGGTTGAGCCCGGGTTTTGCGTGTCCTGGCTGGTGCGGTGTGAGTAATAGCCAGCCGTGGGGGCTCCTGAGCAAGCGGTACTGGATTACCGCTGTAGGAGTCAGCATTAGAGGACACGGGGACCTCCGTTGTAGTAGGTGATTGGGCAACAGGTATAACCGCCCAAGGCAGGGGTGGTGGTGTACACGCTTGTGGTGATGAGCCTGTAGCAAAGGGAAATGTAGATTCGTCAAAACGAACATGTCTGCAAATATAGGTCTTTCCACTTGTCAAGTTTACGCATCGATATCCCCTAAATGAAACAGGGTAACCTAGGAAGACACACGGGGTAGTCCTGTACTCAATCTTATGCCTATTGTAGGGGCGTAGATGTGGGTAACAGCGACACCCAAAGACTCTAAGAAAAGTGTATGGGGGATTGACTTTGAATAGTTTTGAGTATGGGCTTTCGAAATTTAATGCCGAAGAGGGTAAGTAGTTGATAAGGCAAGTGGCTGTTTCAAAGGCATAGTCCCAATATTCATGTGGAACTTTACCTCCGGCGAGTAGAGCGAGGCCAGTTTCGACAACATGTCTATTGCGCCGCTCTACTTTGCCGTTTTGTTCATGCGTATAAGCGCAAGATTGACGGTGATTTATGCCAAGATTTTGGAAAGTGGTGTGGAGTTTTCGGTACTCACCCCCTAGATCCGACTGGATAGATTTGATAGAGCGCAAAAATTGGCGCTCTACCAGAACGCGAAACACATCA